GAATGGTGTAGAAATAAAATTAGGTATCATTGATCTCGTCATGATATAAGTAACCTACATACCGAGTTTGAATGAAATCGGAAGAAAAAAGGTGAATTTATAGATTTTTGATTATTATTTTTTAATTATCTACTTTTTACGCTAAGAACCTATCTTTTACATTATACAATGTATATGCCAAGTTTGGTCAAAATCGTTTAGATGGATCTCGAATGAAAAGGTATCACACAGACAGAGTGTAGTGTTTACTTATAGAAACAAGTATAATGCCGACTAATGTTTACTTATAGACTCAAGTATAAAAACAATCAATTCTCATCTGTAGTCTCGAGTGTAAACGCATGGTCAGCAAAAGAGACAGTCCAAAATATTAACTACTTTTTAATAGGGTTAACGGTTTTGTTTTTTTAGTTAGGCCTTCAAAGCAACGTCTTTCTATTGATCTCCGACTGGGATAACCTTTGGGATCGCCCCGAATGCGAGTCACTCAAGTGCAGTATTTCTAAGCTGCGAGCTACGTATTGACGAATTAAACGCCAAAATCTTGACCTCTTCAAGTCTAAGGTCAACAGTTCTCTTTTACCCCATGTAACTTAACAGACTGTATTTCATTCCGTAATTCTCTAGCTTGAGTGGCTCTTGGGTGAACATTAGTAAAATAAAAAAAAAACAATAAAGATACAGAAATTTAACTTTCTGGTATTTGTCTTCTTTGTTTAACTTTTAAAATTTTAAAAAGAACTAAGACCAATATTTCTTATTTATCAAATTTTTGTCGATTTGAGTTTTTTTGGCCATGCCACCGAACGGGCAGGGAAAGAAAAATCTCATCTTTAAACCCTGATTTGGCATCCTTCTTTAATGAGAAAATATTTCTGGACTTTCCCAGACACGATATTTTTGGGACTTAGAGCTGGACATATTTTAAAAACAGCAATAAAGTACCGAACATGTCGGTTTGTCAATGGAGTACCAACCAATTATAGGGAAGTTTTTATGATGATGATGATGATGATGATGATGAACAGATTAAAAAATTTGACAAAGATATGCAAACAGACATAGGAATAGTGAAAGATGCCTTACAGAAACTAAGAAAAGTATTAAGAGATAGGAAAATTTCGTTAGAAAAGAGTGTTGAACTATTATGTAATATTTAATCTCCTATATGGCAGTGAATGCTGGAAATTTTCCTAACTGATGAAGAACAGACTCGAAGCGTCAGACGAACCCAAGAAATACTATGGACGGGACAACGAGGAGTTTGGGGAGAAAATATAACCTACAACGAAAAAAGTCAGAAAGTAGTGAAATTTCAGGGATACATAATGAGAAAAGCTGGTTTGGAAAATGTAACACTCACGGGGCAAGAAGGCAAGAGAAGCCGAAGGAAAATCGAGCAATCTATTTCACGAGTTTGAGTGTAGGGATAACAGAACAGGGACAAAGAATGATGGTAAAGAGGTAAAAGTTACTTTGAACAACAAAAGACAAGAAGTAGTGGAGGGCCACGAATTTGATACTTAAAGGAACTGAATATGGATAAAAACAATAATAAACTAAAAAAATTTCTAAATCAACCTTATATGATAGGATATTCAATTTAGCTTAAATTAATTGATATAGTTAAGACCAATAATTCCATTATTACTTACTTTTTTGGTATTTTTCCAATGAAACATGACCCAGCACACATGTTAGTACTTCGTATGTCCAGTCCATGTACTCGTTCCTTTCAGATTGACCACAGATTCTCGATTGGATTTAAATCAGGAGAGTTTCCTGGCCAGTCTTTGAGTTCACTGGTAAGGCTTGCCAATGTGTTCGTGCAACGTTACAAATTTTCGTACGCTTCCTTGGAGTAACGTCCATCACAAACAATAGCCGTAGGACTACTAATCGACAGTCGAAACAATAGTGTCAGGGCGTGATAAAAATCTGATGCGATCACGGACGACGCAATATTTCATGGCCAAAAAAAAAATTGATCACACACCCCGAAAATAGATTCATATTACTGCACACCATTGCAAATGACCTAACCTGAGGAAAAAATAGAAATCGATTACACCCTATCACTCCAGTGGGTTTAAAACTGACCGTATGGTGAAAAAAAGAAAGGAAACTAAAGCGGTTGGTCTATAATATACAAGAAACGTTTGAATCGACCTTCTATGATAGAATGTATATTTTAGCTGAAAAGCCGGGTAAGGTTATGTTGTAACCTAGGGAAGTTTACTGAATAGAATAATCAAACGAAGGTTTGTAATGAACGATAATACTTAGGACACGAACATATAAGATTCGCCAGCGGCGCGTAGAAGTAGTAGTCAACTGCTGTGAATTCCACAATGAGTGTCCAACGGCAGATCAACATACAGTATTTACGTGAATGGAGGCATTATCGTCAATAGGTATGCTACAACAGGTTATTAAAAGAAAGGAAATATATAGTATAGCTGTCCACTCGTATTCGAGGAGAGCCGTCTTATACTTATAGGGCGGCTAGCCAATCCCTGTTGCAGACGCTTTCTCAAGTGCATTTGCGTTTATTCAACACCCACGGAGCCCATTTATACAGCAACTATGCTAGGAAAGAACGTGTTATCTAACATGATCAACAATTTGAACAAGGCCAGCACGTTCAATCCCGCTTCCACGATGACTACCCAATTTTACTCACAGGGCTTGGGTCAACCCGCAGTATGGTTCTCAAGCACTTTCCAAAATCGACCCCTCCTTCCTGACAAATCGATCATCGGTGAGATTCGAACCCGGGCCTCACGTGCCTATGACTGAATAACGTTGCTATGAATGGATATAAATAAAAAGAATTTGTCAGTAATAAGCTAGAAGCATTTGAACCTTGTATGATGGAATATACAGTTTAGCTGAAAGCTGGCGTAAGAGCAGAAACACATCAGAAACAAATTTGATCACTGAACGTTGATGCTATGAAAAGAATGAATAAAGGACTTTGTTTTAAAAAAAACAACTGGGAACCTTTGCGTGAAGTTAATGCAAAAATAACTTGTAATATTTTCGATTTGTCTTCAGGAAGCGTTGGAACGGCATATATTGCATTGTAATACTCAAAGCAGTCAATCCTATATTTTAAAAATATACAAAAATCTCAAGGACACTTTAATTACTTTGGCATTTTTTTTATCTTTCTCTAACTTTTCTAATATATTTACCTTTCCTCTTCTGCTATCTTTTCCCGCTTTGCCACAAATCCTTAGGATTGGTTTGCCGCGTAATTTTTCAAGGTCGCTTTTTATCGCTATCTTTGACGACTCGACGCCATTAAAATTCTTGTTAAAACTCGGAAAACAATTTGAGTGCATTTCATGAAATATTCTCTTCTCTGTTAAAAGTGTTGCTTCTCTCTCTCTCTCTTCTTTTTCTGCCTCTCTGTCTCTCTTTCTCTTCTTTTTCAGCCTCTCTCTCTCTTCTTTTTCAACCTCTCTCTCTCTCTTCTTTTTCAGCCTCTCTCTCCCTCTTTCATCTTCTCAATATTTCTCTCTCCTTCACGCCTCCACTCTTATTTTTCTCGTCCTCTCTCATTCCTCTCTCTCCTTTTTCAGCCTCTCTCTATCCTTTTTCAGCCTCTCCCTCTTCTTTTTCAGCCTCTTTCTCTCTCTCTTCTTTTTTCAGCCTCTCTCCTTCTTTCATCTTCTCAACATTTCTCTGTCCTTCTTCACGTCCCACTCTTCTTTTCCTCGTCCTCTCTCATTCCTCTTTTGCCTTCTCTCTCCTTTTTCAGCCTCCCTCTCTCCTTTTTCAGCCTCTCTCTCTCTCTCACTCTCCTTTTTCAGCCTCTCTCTTTTCTTTTTCAGCCTCTCTCTCTCTCACTCTTCTTTTTCAACCTCTCCCTCTCTCTTCTTTTTCAGCCTCTCTCTCCTTCTTTCATCTTCTCAATATTTCTCTCTCCTTCTTCACGTCTCCACTCTTCTTTTTCTCGTCCTCTCTCATTCCTTTTTGCCTTCTCTCTCCTTTTCAGCCTCTCTCTTTTTCAGCCCCTCGTCCTTTCTCATTCCTCTTTTTTTCCTCTCTCTCTCTTTTTTTTTTCAGCCTGCCTCTCTCTCTCTCTTTTCAGCCTCTCTCTCTCTCTCTCTCTCTTTAATTTCTCAATATTTTCTCTTCTCTCTCTTCTTTTCTCGTCCTCTCTCAATTTCTTTGCCTTCTCTCTCCTTTTTCATCCCTCTCTCTCTCCTTTTCAGCCTCTCCACTCTCCTTTTTCAGCCTCTCTCTCTTTCTTTTCAGCCTCTCTCTCTCTCTTTTTTCAAATTCTCTCTCTCTCGCTCTTCTTTTTCAGCCTCTCTCTCCTTCTTTCAACTTCTCAATATTTCTCTCTCCTTTTTCTCTTCCTCTCTCATTCTTTTTTTGCCTTCTCTCTTTTCTTTTCTCTACCCCTCTCTTTTTCTCCCTCTCTTCTTTTTTTCTCACCCTCTTCTTTTTCTTTCTCTTCTTCTCCTCCCTCTCTTTCTCTCTCTCTCCTTTTTCTTGTCCTCTCTTATCTTTCTTGCTCTCTCTTTCTTTTTTGTTCGTACAGACATTATTTTTACATTATGTATTCACAACTTTTGAGTGCTAAACAAAAGGGCAGATGTAATAAATAGGGATGGAAAATAAATATGGGGGGAAACAATCAGAAAACATAATAAACGGGGGGAGTAATAAAAGATGGGGGGTTTCGAAAATGAGATAACCTAATAAACAGGGTGGGGTTTCAATAAATGGGGAAAAATGATTAAAAACTTTGAAACAACAAAACTGCAAAACAATAAATATCCATCAATATCTCAAGAAAATGCTTTAACAAAATCGAAAACATTTCCATGACGCATTGCCAACGTTAAAATATAAATAAATGCCCATCGATAAAGCTGGGGAGGGTATTCTAATTAGTTACAGGGGATAGAATATTCAAATTAATTAAGAGAAATCAACCATTCGCCCTTGCACAGAATACTTGCTATATGGTCTGGAGTCCCCGATGTTCGTCTTAAGGTCCTCGACAAAACAGTTAAATGTAGGACAACCTTCTAGTCCAATAGCTTCATGGAAAGACAATTTTCAAGCGTCACAAACTGACCTTTGTCTGTACAGCCCTACAACCTTCCTGACTGACACTCGTGGGTTTCAACTGGTAGATCACCAGACTGACACCTGCGGGAAGGACAACCCTATAGCGTCATCTCCAGATGCACTTGATCTACGGGAACAACCCTATAGTAAATGACACCTACAGGGGATGGAAAACAAACCTGCAGGAAGGACAACCCTGCAGAGCGTCACCAAACTTAGGTCCTTTCGGATAATTGAGCCCTATCAGCGTCACCCCGGTCGTGGGAATCTAAGTCCCCGTTGCGTGCACTCAGTGGCTAGTCCCACCCTGGGGAAGGACAACCCTATAGCGGTTGAAAAGCTTGTTTCCTGGTAGGGGATCAACTAATATCAAAAATTAATTGAACGACCATTTCTTTTCACGGTAACCTTCCGACAGAATACTCGTTATAAAGAGACAGCCCCCGATGTTTCGCTCTAGTGTTGAACAATTCCAGAAACGGATATTCAATGTCAGCTGCATCTTGTTTAAGGTGTTTGCCGTATCGCAAATTCTGTTTTTTTGCTGACTTTCCAGTGTTGTTGAGCTACTATTTTCCCAGACTGCATGAATTTAAAGTTGTCCTTACTCTGGTCGGAGGTTCCTTTCACTGTCAGAAACAGTTAAATGAAACTGTTCTTCATCTTCGTGTGACTTCCCGTCTGTGTAAGTCCAGGTGTCGTTGGTAGATATAATCTACAACTCATTCAAATGCAATGTCAATATCGCAAAGGTCAGTCTCTTCGCTATTTCCTCTCCCATTTGTTCCCTTCCCGCAGGGTGTCAGTCTTGCGTGCCTTTGCTTCCCCGTCTTGCTTGGGGTCCTTCCTAAAAAAAAAGAGTAATGTTTATTTCATTAGGGCAGTCAGTGTGACCTTCCCGCAAAGTCTGGTGCCGCTCTAGTGTTGACCTTCCAGTGTCAGTCAGGTGACGCTGTAAGGCTGTACTTACCACAAAGGTCAGTCTGGTGACGCTCTAGTGTTGTCCTTCCCGCAGGTGTCAGTCTGGTGACGCTTTGAGATGTTCTTCCCGCAGGTGTCCGTCTGGTGACGCTGTAGGTTGTCCTTCCCGCAGGTGTCAGTCTGGTGACGCTTTAGAGTTGTCCTTCCCGCAGGTGTCAGTCTGGTGACGCTATGTCCTTCCCGCAGGTGGTCTGGTGACGCTATAGAGATGTTCTTCCCTCAGGTGTCAGTCTGGTGACGCTCTAGGGTTGTCCTGGTGACGCAGGTGTCAGTCTGGTGACGCTGGTAGGGTTGTCCTTCCCGCAGGTGTCAGTCTGGTGACGCTATAGAGATGTTCTTCCTGCAGGTGTCAGTCTGGTGTTTGTCCTTCCGCAGGTGTCAGTCTGGTGACGCTATGAGTTGTCCTTCCCGCAGGTGTCAGTCTGGTGACGCTATAGGTTTGTCCTTCCGCAGGTGTCAGTCAGGTGAGGGGTTGTCCTTCCGCAGGTGTCAGTCTGGTGAGAGTTGTCCTTCCCGCAGGTGCTGTCTGGTGACGCTATATGTTCTTCCCGCAGGTGTCAGTCTGGTGACGCTATGTTCTTCCTGCAGGGTCAGTCTGGTGATGCTATAGGGTTGTCCTTCCCGCAGGTGTCAGTCTGGTGACGCTCTAGAGTTGTCCTTCCCGCAGGTGTCAGTCTGGTGACGCTATAGAGATGTTCTTCCCGCAGGTGTCAGTCTGGTGACGCTATGTCCTTCCCGCAGGTGTCAGTCTGGTGACGCTATAGAGATGTTCTTCCCGCAGGTGTCAGTCTGGTGATGCTATAGGGTTGTCCTTCCCGCAGGTGTCAGTCTGGTGACGCTCTAGTGTTGTCCTTCCCGCAGGTGTCAGTCTGGTGACGCTATAGAGATGTTCTTCCCGCAGGTGTCAGTCTGGTGACGATGCTAGTCTGGTGACGGGTTGTTGTCCTTCCTTCCTGCAGGTGTCAGTCTGGTGACGCTATAGAGTTGTCCTTTGCAGGTGTCAAATATGTTCCTTCCTTTCAGTCTGGTGACGCTAGAGATGTCCTTTTTGCAGGTGTCAGTCTTGACGCTATGTTCTTCCCGCAGGTGTCAGTCTGGTGAAAATGGTGACGCTAATGCCTTCCTGCAGGGTCTGGTGATGATAGGGTTGTCCTTCCCGCAGGTAGGTGTCTGGTGACGCTATAGAGATGTTCTTTGCAGGTGTCAGTCTGGTGAACATCAGGTGTCAGTTCCCCTTCAAGTGGATGCATCTGGTGACGCTTTAGAAGGCCTTGCTATAGGGTTGTCCTTTGCAGGTGTCAGTTGGTGACGCTCTAGAGATGTTCTTTGCTGGTGAATAGGGTTGTCCTTTAGGTTTGACTTTTTTCAACAGCAAATCAGTCTGGTGACACACAGGTGTCAGTTGGTGATTTGGTATGGTGTCAGTCTTGAATGAGGATTTAAATGGATACCTCTGATTTATTTTTCCTTGTCAGTCTGGTGATGCTATAGGGTTGTCTTCCTTTATATATCTGGTGATTCACACACACACATAGTTTTCACTTTTATAGAGATGCAGGTTATTCTAATTCTGCGACGCACTTCATTTAGAGATGTTCTTTTCAAATTCTGGTGACGCTTTTTCCCGCAGGTGTCTGGTGAAATAGAGATGTTCTTTCACATCATTTCTATCGACTTCATTCAGTCTTTTTCATGTCCTTTTTCATTGTCTCTCCCCTCATTTTGTCTTCCTGACGCAGGTGTTCAGTCTGGTGTCGCTTACATATGGTGGTTTTTCATCATCTCTTCCTCCTCATTCTTCTTCTTCATCCTTTTTCAGGTTATCTCTCCCGCTCATTCTTCTTCATCCCCTTTTTCATTATCTCTCCCCTCATTCTTCTTTCCCTTTTTCATTATGTCCCTCCTCATTCTTCTTCATCCCTTTTTCATTATCTCTCCCCTCATTTTGATTTCATAGAGATGTTTTCATCAGGTGTCAGTCTCCTCATTCTTCTTCATCCCCCTTTTTCATTATCTGACCTGGTGACCTCATTCTTCTTCATCCCCTTTTCATTATGGTGCCGCTAATTCTTCTTCATCCCTTTTCTGGTGATTATCTCCCCTCCTCATTCTTCTTCATCCCCTTTTTCATTCTCTCCCTCCTCATTCTTCTTCATCCCCTTTTTCATCATCTCTCCTCCTCATTCTTCTTCATCAGGTTTTTCATCATGGATAAATAAAATCCTCATTCTTCTTCATCCCCTTTTTCATCATCTGACCCTCCTCAATTCTTCTTCATCCCCTTTCATCCTTTATTCATTCTCTCCTCCTCATTCTTCTTCATCCCCCTTTTTTCAGTATCTCCCCTATTGTTCTTCATCCCTTTTCATCATCTCCTTCCTCATTCTTCTTCATCCCCTTTTCATTATCTCTTTTCTTCTTCCCTTTTTTCAGTCTGGTGACCTCATTCATTCTTCTTCATCCCCTTTTTCATCATCTCCCCTCCTCATTCTTCTTCATCCCCTTTTTTTTTCATTATCTCTCCCCTCATTTTCTTCATGTCCATTTTTCATCATCTCCTCATTGTTCTTCATTCGGTTCTTCCTCATTCTTTTTTCATTATCTCTCCCCATTCATTCTTCTTCATCAGGTGTTTTGGTTCATCTCTCCCCTCATTCTTCTTCATGTCCCTTTTTCATTATCTCTCCCCCTCATTTTTTTTCTTCATCCTTTTTTTCATCTCCCTCCTCATTTCTTCTTCATCCCCTTTTTCATTATCTCTCCCCCTAATTCTTCTTCATCCCCTTTTTCATTATCCTCCTCATTCTTCTTCATCCCCTTTTTCATCATCTCCCCTCCTCATTCTTCTTCATCCCCTTTTTCATCATCTCTCCTCCTCATTCTTCTTCATCCCCTTTTTCATCATCTCCCCTCCTCATTCTTCTTCATCCCCTTTTTCATCAACTCTCCTCATCATACTCTTTCAATCAACCTTTTTTCATCATCTTCTTCATAAGCATTTTCCTCATCTCTCCTCAACATTAATTCTTCAACCTATTGTAATTATCTCTTTGCCTCATTCTTCTTCTTCTTCCTCTTTTCTTCATTTCTCCTCATCATTCTTTTTCTTCAGCTTCTTTTCATCACCTCTCCACTTTTTTACTTAAACTTCTTTTCTTCATCTGTCCACCTCATTGTTCTACTTTATCCTTCATCATACTTCATTTATATATATATGTGTGTGTGTGTGTCTATGTGTGTATATATATATATATATATATATGTATGTGTGTGTGTATAAATACATATATTAGAGAGTGAAGTCTGGTGATGCTGAAGTTGATCTTGAGGTGTCAGTGTGAGAAAAAATAGCTCTTTTCGTTAATTAAACAGTATTTATAATCTAACTGCATCTACCGGCCTGGATATTCGAGGAATATGCTTCATCCGTCAGGATTCGAACCTGCCTATCAATCCGATGAAATCCGAACGCATGAAACGCGTGACGAAAACAGTTTGTCATATTTTCTAAGTACTGTTTGTTCATATGGAGGCATGGTGGAGTAGTGGATAGCGACTCGGATTGAGGAATCGGAGAGCCGAGTTCGAATTCCAGTGGTAATTTATTACATCTACTTATGTACTAATATGAATCCTCTTCAGCAACTGGTATAGGAGAAGGACACGTCTGAATATAAAACCTGCGGAGGGTTGTTTGGGGAATTCGGGACAAGTAGTGCACCAGGTCCCTATATTTCACCCTTTAAAAAATTTATGCACAAAGCTCTCATCACTATAATCAAATCATATGTAAATATATATATATATATTATTATTATATATATTATTACAAAAACCAAATACATATTAATTACAAACAAGACGAATCTTCTCTAAGGCATATTATAAAGAAATATTCTACTCCTATTGATCCGAATAAAAAAATCAAACTTATTATCTATTATAAAAAATTTAAGACAGCCAACCTTATCCTCAAAAATAACAACTCAGCAACTAAGTCAAAATTACAAAGAACGAACATTGTCTATGAGTTCAAATGCCCCTTAAGGAACTGTGTTCCTGATCAAACCAGACTCATAAATAATTACATCGGTTACACAACTACATGCTTATCCAGCCGTCTTACGTTACACCTATCTGATCACAGCTCCATTAGAACCCATTTAAACACACACACACATTTACACGACTTCATTAGAAACATACTAGTAGAAAACACAAATATATTAACTGCATCCACTTGCAAAAAAAGACTAAAAATAATGGAAACTCTAATAATAAAAAAGAAAAAGCCAACTCTTAGCAATATTAACTACGAACAAAGCCACAATGTGCTAACCGTATTCGGAAATTAAAAACATCCCTACCACACACTAAGACATACACAGAATGCACACACTCAACTAAGCTGACAATCGAATCATCCTTGATAATGGCTAAAGCTATAGCCGAAAGCGCTCGGAAATATAAAACATTTGGAGAGTTCTTACACACCCTTTGTCCAGAAAAGAAAGCTTTTGTCAGAACACAAGAAAAATTAAATAAAAAGCTTAACCGTAGTACCTTGTCTGTCGTTTTTAATGAAACATGCATAAATATATTTATATATATATATATATATATATATATATATATATATATATGGTGTCTGGGCTGTCGGTTCCTAGGAATTTATATTCTTCACCCTCATACGTCGAATACGACTGAAGAGCCCACCATATATATATATACAGCGATCTCGGTTCTCGAACGTCCCACATGTCGAACCAAAACTTCGAGATGAAAATGGCTCGGTTATCGAACAACATTGCTGAACCGAGTGTAACCGAGTTAAGCCGAACGGAATCATTTCTGAGTCAACCACTGTGTTGTATATATTAGTGTCGTGCTGTAATTTTCTTTATTTGCCTTTTTTTCTCTACATTGATTCCTATTGGATAAATAGTTTCGGTTTACGAACATTTCGGGTTACGAACGGCCTTCAGGAACGAATTAAATTCGTTTTTTGAGGCATCCATTATATATATATATATATATAATTTTATTATAAAACCCAGGTTGTGTGTGTATGTGTGTGTGTGTTGTGTGTTATATTTTTTTTTATATATTAGATTTCCATACATTTTTCAACTGATTTCAACAAAACTTCACAGGACTACGTAAAATTACCTTGCAGTGGTTCTGACAGTGCCCAAAATTGGAAAAACATAATTGTTTTTGCCCGAAATCAATTAAAAACACGATTAAGAGGCATCGCTGTCCGAGAATGAAAGGGGACAACTCATATCGAGTTATACTTATTATAAAACCCAGGTTTTGTGTGTGTGTGTGTGTGTGTGTGTGTGTGTGTGTGTGTGTGTGTGTGTGTGTGTTCGTTTATATATGGGATCGGATTTCCTATATTTTTCAACCGATTTCAACAAAACTTCACTTTTTGTTTGGCAGGTAGTGTTTCTTATTGTCTTGCACATTTTTTTTCTTTATTTTTACATTCAGAATGCTTTAAAAATTCCATTTACAAGACAATTATTTATAATAAAATTCTATTCAATCGGTAGACTCATAACGATTGAAAACAATGTTTTTGTTTGGGTTTGACCAATTTGTAAAAAAAAACAAAAAACAAAACAAAACAAAAAAAAATTAAGACATGCGTGTCTGTCAACCTTAAACAATAATCTTTGTCAATTTTATTTTTCAGTCTTTATGATGGTCGATACTGTTACTGTAACTCTTACTGTTACATCCCCGGGCAACGCCGGACGCTACTGCTAATATATATATATATATATTTGGTACAGCTGGGCGGGTTAGATGTTTAATGTTTATAAGAACAGTACCTCGTTCATCTTGTTTTCGGTTAAGATTCCGAGTTTTGGCCCAGAATCAATCATTATGAAAGAAAATGAAATTCAAAGCCAGTTTCATGAGTGCTTTTATATTTATGGGGATTTTGAATTTTAAGTTTTGAATGTTTGTGATGCGGCGTGAAGTGAAGTGTGCGAATACTGAGAAATATTTGTGATGCTACGTGAACGCCAAGACATTTTTTTAATTTTTTTTCGGCTTCTATGTTTGCGGTCTCGTGTGAACGTGACGTGGTTTGGATGCCGAGAATTTGAATAGATTTTAAAAACTCTCCTCTATTTTTTTTTCTATTTGCCATTCACTTCTCTTCTCGCGATTTCCTTTTCTTCTGTCCACCTATATTTTATCCTCCCTTATTATATCTCTCTCTCTCCAAATCTCTCTTCCTCTCTCTTTACCCTTTCTCTCTCTATCTCCTTCAAATCCAAAAAGAAATATTCTGTGACCCTCTTCTCCGAATCTTTCTCTATAAAAATGTCTCCCCTCAGTTCCATCTGTCTCCTCCTCTCCTCTTCCTTTGTCTCTTTTTTATTTCATTGTCTATGAATTTCAAATGCCATTTTTTCTCTACTTCTGAAAAAATTCCAGACCCTCTCTCTCTTTCATCGGTATATGTCTTTCCTTCTCTCATCCATAACCTCCTCCTCTCCCTCTTGTTGAAACACACACTCATTTATCTCTACTATATGTCTCAGTAGAAAACTCAAATATCCCCTCTGCATTGCAAAAAAGACTAAAATCTTTCTCTCCTCTCTATATTCTCTATTTCTCAACTCTCTATCAATCTCCTCTTCTCTCTCTTTCTGACAATCTCTCCTTCCGTCTTAGAATAAAAACATCTCTATCTATCTTCTTTAAATCTTCTCTATCCTCTATTCTAAATATTTATCTAATTTCTTTTTCTACTTCAAAAAATTTTTTTTTCTCTGAAATATAAAACATTTTATTTTATATTCGTTCTCTTTTTCTCTTCATCTTTTTCTTTCTTTCGTTAAATCTATTTTTACTAAAAGTTTTTTTGAAATTCTCTTAAAGTCGTATTTATATTCTTATATATATAAATATTTTTATCTATTTTCAGTGTCTCTTTTCAGTTTTTTTTTTTTTTTTTTTGACAATACAATCGCCTGCAGCCACCTTTTGAAGATATCGTCAATGTTTGGTTCTCGAACGTTCAAGAATCCTGCAAATTCTCAAGAGGAAAAAATCCTCTTCGAAACATTCCCTTTCCCATCACAACATTCCAGGAATTATTATTTACCAAAAAAGTGTTTATTTCTTATTATATCTTTAGTTTAGGATTTTCTTTATTTTTTTTGGAATCGGATTCCTAAGAAGAGAAATAGTTCCTTTACGAACATTTTTACGATCAACTGGGATCGAACGAATTAAATCAGTGAAGTGATGCCACTATTTTTCAGAACCCCAAAAATTATAAAAATAACTAGATAATGTTAATTTTTGGGTGTGTGTTTTTAAATTGTGTGTATTTTGATAAACTAGAAAGAAAAAGGAAGTTCATCAAACAGATATTCAAGGATTTACGTTAAATAACAGAGGTTGCTTATTCGAAGAAGAATGCCCAAAAAAAAAAAAATAATTTTTTATCGCCCGAAAATAATTTAAAAATTTTTCTACTTCATCTTTTATCTTGAGCCTTTGAAGGCCGACAACGTGTATAACATATTTCTATTGTTAAAAATATTAGGAAGGTTGTTTAAAACATGTGTGTGAAAAACTTGTGTCATGTTTTTAAATAGCCGCGTCAGTACAGAAACTTGCATATATAAATGTTTTGATATTTGGCACCAAAACTATGTTCAGATTTCAAAAAATTTTCAACTTTTTGTTGTATACAACTGTTTCTTATTGTCTTCAATGTTGAAAATTAAGGACATACAGACAGCTTAAAAAATTAAAAAGGAATAGACAATTATAACTCGAAGAAAAAATATTCAATCATAATCAAAATGATTGAAAAACAATTTCCCACCACTTCAAATAAAAATTTAGGAAAAAACCTTCATCAATACAAAACAAAGAACGATAAAAGCTACTGATGTGAGAAACCTGTTTTCAAAAAAAATGTTGTTTCAATGTTGTTTTTAAATGTCTTTAAATGTTGTT